GTCAAACTTCAGTTTTTGCTCTTTAGATACTAAAAGTAGGTAATAAGATAATTGATATGGCAAGCTATGCTAAATCAATTGAATATATGTCTTACTTAAGTACCACTCAAGAGTCAGACAACTGCGAATCACATTTAGCATCGAGAACAATTGACATTTGTGACGTGTGTGAAGTGTTTTTGTAGATTGTTGTCTTTACCTTTTGTACGCTTTTGTAAGTACTTCCAATTGGCCTGGTTCGATTCCGTTGTTGCCTGATTGTTTTCGATGCTTTTAACAACTGATTTTCAACTTAATTGCTTCGCTGAGGGTCTGGTCTCAACAACGAATCGCAGCCAACCAACAGCCAACGTCTGCCAGCGAGTCAGGCCGTAGGTAGAGTGAGCCGTAGGTGGTCCCATAACGAGCTAATGAAATGTACGCAGCTACAACTACACTGAGTCAGGAGCTGTCAAAACTGACGACTCCACTTGCCAGCAAGAAAAACATAAAATACATGCAAATTGCTCGGTAATTGCATAACTTATCATCATCAACTAAAGTGTTTTCGCTTGCTCTTGGGATGATGTATGTGAATGCTAATACAACCAAAAACAACAGAATTGTCTTAAGAAAATAACAGAAAAAGCTGAGAAAAGATTTGCTCTTGTTGTATAATTACAGTGAAATAAATATATATACATATTATAGTTAGAATTATAACTGTTGATTCAGATTGCAATCATTTGTTTATCTATGCTTGAATTATGAGGTTGATCAATATGAATATAATAAATTAATTTGTATAGCGTTTAAGGTGTAATTCACATAAAAATGACTTTAGTACGAAATTTAATAACTATACTTATGTTATATAAAAACCTATTTGTTATGGAAGTACTTTTTAAATACATTCGAGTTCTTATAAATTTTCCTCAGCTTAGTCAAAAACATCACAAACTCATAAGCTGTTGTCCCCTTTTAAAAACCCAATAAAAAATAAAAAAAAAAAAATTCGTAAGAATTCCATCTTTTTTGGCCGTCATCTTGATTAAGTTAAATTTAAAAATTATTCACAAACCTTTTGCAATTCGTAAGGCAAAGGTTAAGTAATAAATTTGTCAGTAAAGCCTTCAATAGGTTAAGCTTAAAATAATTTTTGCTTAATCTAATATATAGTCGAATATACATATGTATATGCCCGGTGTACCGACCTGACACGAAATAATCCCGGTTTTCTACCGTTTCGATAAAAAATAATTATTTCGATAAAATAACAATTCGAAAAGTGCTATTCCCTCGGGATTTAAAATTATCGGGAATCGAATTTATTTGAATGACCTTTAGAGTTGCCGCAGAATATGCCTTGCAAGTGTCTGGTGGCAGCCCTAGATAAGCCTATCGATAACCGTCGAAGCTCAGCAGCTTTTATTGAGTTGTCATTGAGCGTGTGGAATATAAAAGTCGATTGTTATCAGCAATTAAGTTCCAGTTTTCAGAACATTTGGATTCCTTTAAGTTTAAAGGGGCGACTCTGGTTGGATTTGCTAATTGACACGTCGTTGGCTGGGTTTGTGTTGCGTTTAATTAATGACGATCATTAAAAATTTGCATGCGATTGCGCGAATGCGAATATTTCTCCTGGCCAGTTGGCCAGCTGGGCAGAACAGGCTGAGATTATTTTTAGATTTTTAGGGCACAGCAAAATTGCAGCTGGCCTTTACTCTTGGCGGCCTTTTGACGAGCTGAAAACCAGTTGAGCAGCGATGCGGCAACAAAGTGAGCAACTGCTGTGACCCTCTGTGTAGGTGTCGTTGTCGTCAGCGCCGGCTGAGCCTCGACTTGTCAATATCGTTTACATCAGCCTCATATTGGATGCCCAACTAGAGAGTGTCAACTCCCGGACAGTCGGCCATCGGCCATCGGCCACCGGGCAAGCGACTACAACCCGTTTTGCTGTTAGCCAAAGTCTAAGCACAGTTGGCCCCATGTCACTGGCCACTTGGCTGTCAGCCAGCGGCGCCTGCGGTTGACACTTTTTCGCGCCGACACGCCCGCTAATCCTCTCATGCATAGCAGCTGGCGGGGTCGAGTGGCCCGGCCACCGAGATGACTTGGCACGTTGAGCAGCGCGACGCAGACAATGACAGTGACGGACCCAGCTGGTGGCCGAGACCCAATTTGTTGCGCACACACAAAACCTTAGCCATAATAACTGTGTTAGCCCCCAAAGACCCAAAGATATCGTTTACACGCTCAGCGCTCTCAAGTGACAAACTCAATAATAGCTTTGTGCGTACACAGACTTACGTTTATTTATTTACAGCACCTTTATTTTGGCGAACACCTTTTTAAAATGTCCAGTCCCAAGGAAGAGGCAACGAAAGAGAGGAGGTAAGACTGCGATTAGCCAGAGTAGATTTGTTTAAAAAATTGGTGAGTATTCAAAATGTTTTTTGCGGAATGATGTCACTTTACCCAAGGATCAGTAAAGTTAACGCTTGAATAGCTAAACTCTGTTCCGAAAATCAAAAAGCGGAAATTAGTATATATAATATGTCTAATATGTAACCCAAACCGATAGATATTTCGATCTAATGCTTAAATGGTTATAAATAATCAGTCTATTAAAATGTATATTATTTTTCCTAGGTCACTTCTTATTTTCTCTCGCATACAGTGAGGGGCTCTATCCGATTATTCACTAGAATTATAGAGAATGGGTACACACTTGCATTGAACCAATTTGATACGTTTTGTTGTTTCCTGACTACAGACTTATCTGAGAAATTTGAGTGAGCCTATTACTAACACTCGAGATAGTGTATAACGCAGTCGGTTGTACCCGACTGCAACGTTCGAGATCTATCAAAGTTCATACTTCTTTTTACTAAATGGAATTCTCTTGATTCTTCCAACTCCTCAGCCCCAAGGCGCCAAGCGATGGCAGCGTCATGGTGGGAGTTTCATTTGATGGAGGAATTATCTTGGCCGTCAATTCAGTGAACAATCTGATTTACTATTTGGATGATCAAATCTAGTAAGCCCATCTTAATCTATAATATCTGCTATCCATCTAGTGTTACTCATCGATTCATTTTAGCTGCTGCGCAAATAGCGCCGGATACGATCGCGAAATGTTGATAGATGCGTCCAGCAAGCTGGAGAATTCGCGCGCGAGTAATTCGCGCATTTTGGTGTCTCAAGTGGTGGAACTGATTTCAAGGCTATACGAAAAGGCAGACCCCACGGAGCTGCTGGTGGCTGGCGAGGATGTGACTGGCCTGTACTTAGTAACAGTGACAGGCCCACAAACCGTTACGTTGGTCGATTTTGCGGCATTGGGCGACGGAGCTGCTGGGCCGACTGGACCCGCCGAATATCTGAAAAGCCACTGGCAACCGGCCATGAGCCTTAAGCAGGCGGAAGCTCTGGCCCGCCAAACTGTCACCTTGGGTGGTGCGCAAAGATTGTGCGCCGATGTGTGCATCGTATTCAAGCGACCGCCACCTCCACTCCGAATGGAGCGCCTAACCTCTCTGAGGTATCATAATCAAAAGAAGAGCTAATTTAGCGATTCATTCGGCTTGACTGATTTGCTGTTAATTCTTAAATATTTATCTTGCAGCATAAATAAATGAATCGCTGATGCTCAGCTGGCTCCAAATAATTAACCACATTTCTCAGCGTTTGACCTGAGGCAGCCAGGAATAGATTATCTCCCTAGCTGTAGCTGTAGCAAACGTCCTGCTCACGTCTCTCTGGGCCAGATGACTATCGCAATCGCAGGTCTCTGATGCTGCTGCTGCTGCAGATAAATGCAGAGTAAGCACAAATGATTTATGCGCCCGGGCAGCATATAATTAATAATGATTAAAAGCTGGCGCCCATCAACAGCCCCAGATGGACAACATGGTCATAAGCAACTCGATTCCTTGGGCTCCACGACTAATCGCCACAGACGGACTTTCCTACGAAATGAAAAGTGGCCGAGTCAAGATCAAAATCCACTCTCAGGCGCCCAGCGGACGACCCGCTGTGTCTGGATTAACTTGAAATTTATATACATATATATAAGTGTATATATATGCGTATGGCATTTGAATGTTCCATATTGGGCCACGAGTTCACGATTCATTGCCTGGATGCCTGTTTGGCCTGTACGGTGTGCCCGCTTGGGTGCTGTGCGTGACCAGGTTTCATTTTCATTAGCCTCGTTACGTCTCATGGGGCTGTGGTGCTCGGTGTGTGGTCCGACAGCACCTGGGTGGCATTATGTTGTCAGCCTCTTGATATTTACTGCAGCAAAACTTACTAATTGATTTTTGCCCAACAAGTTGTGCCGGAGGGAGCGAGAGGTAGAGTGAGAGAGAGATATCTCCCTGTTTTTTGTGCGGTGTCATAATGGCAATTATTTTAATTACATATTATTTAGTTGAACACGCCAAGCATATTTGTAAAATTCATATTTGATTTAGTTGGCCTCATCGGGCTTCTGATAGTGGCGATACCTTCGAAATCTGCTCCTGAGCAGAATCCTTGCTGTAGTCTCCAATGTCCTTCAGCACGAAAGAGCATTTCCATTATATTCCCTTTTCTGAGCATCTTCGAGGCGCCATCCTTGCGTTTGCCATCGTCTTTCTGTAAGGGAGCTCAATCTGAATGGCTATGGTTATGGCAACTCGAAGACAAACATTGTGAGCATGATTGCTGACCTCGTAGTTCTTCACAATGTTGTTGCGCGTTGGCACCATGCCCCGCAGCCCACAAGAAGAAGTGCCTATCCGTGTACAATGCGCCACATCCGAAGATGTAACTGCATTATATTCAAAAATTGCAGGCATTTCATCGTATGGGTTGCCCAGCCCTCCATTGATGAGTCCACATCACCTAGGGTTACCGACCCTTTGGTGAGTGAGAGTTAGACTGACCTTGAACGGTTACTAGCCGAAGGGCTGATCTGGCCACAGCATGGGATTTGGGAACGTCCTTCTTTTTTTCATGAATATCTTGGTACACATTAAAGAGCTTTAGGAAAAAGTTTAGAAAAATTTAGGAATTAAAATAAAGTAAATCACATCCCAGAACTGAAAGCGGCAAATATTTAATTGATATTAATACATTATATTTGCATAAATTATTCCGAAGATTCTTTTTAACATAGCGCCATAAGTGCGACAGTTCTGAAATCGAACCAGTTCTTTTGACACGCGATAACGACAGTTCGCTTGTGCAGCTCTGGAAAATGCACGTTGGCTCTTCAGCAATCGACAATCTAAAGCTCACGTGGTTGATTTCAAGCCAAATATCTTGTCAAAGCTTCTATATATTGTGCAAATAAATTAGCATCAGCATCAAAATGGGAAAACGAAAGACTAAAGCTCAATCGGTAACTTTTTTAACTTTTTGTATATTTAAACATTAACTAAATGTGAATAAACAATATTGATTTAGCGACCCGGCGGAAAGGCGGCTCTTGCGAAGGGGACGCAACGTAAGTTTAATACATTTATATATAGTTTATATGCATAAATTTTACATTTATTTATATATATTACAAACCTGCATATAAATATTTCCATATTTTGCATCTCAACAGCAATTCCCCCCTCAGCAGCAGGAGCTACTGCAGCTCCTCCTGCAACTCCTGCTATTGCTCCAGGGGCACCAACCGAGCCTCCTGCACGGCGTCCACGTGTAAGTTTTTGCATTCTTGTCAATTCGTTCCTTGCAAACTGTTACCTCTTATTGCAGGGACGTCCACCTAAAAGACCGTTGGCCGCAGCCCCGAGGGATGATAGTGTTGTAAACACTAACGCGGTACTGCACAACAATCCCCAAGTCACGATAAGTGACGGCGGTGCACAGTCTCCACGTGTAAGCTTTCGCTTTCGTTTTGATTACTTCCTCGCCAAGTATTGCCTCTTGTTGTAGGGACGCCTTCGTAAAAGAGCGTTGGGTGCTGCTCCGGCGTCCAAGAGGGATGATAGTGTTGTAAACACTAATGCGGTACGGCTGGCCTCTTTGCAGGAGAGCAACGAGCCCCTAGCCACGATCAGCGATGGCGTTGCACCGTGTCCACGTGTAAGCTTTCACTCTTGTTTTGGTTAGTTCCTCGCCAACTATTGCTTATTATTGCAGGGACGTCCTCGTAAGAGACCGTTGGCTGCTGCTCCGGCGGCCAAGAGGGATGATAGTGTTGTAAACACTAATGCGGTACGGCTGGCCTCTTTGCAGGAGCGCAACGAGCCCCTAGCCACGATCAGTGATGGCGTTGCACAGCGTCCACGTGTATGTTTTCGCCTTATTGTCAATTCGTCCCTCGCTAACTATTGTCTCTTGTTTCAGGGACGTCCTCGTAAAAGACCGTTGGACGCAGCTCCGAGGGATGATAGTGTTGTAAACACTAACGCGGTACTGCACAACAATCCCCAGGCGACGATCACTGATGGCGGTGCACAGTCTCCACGTGTAGGCTTTGGCTTTCGTTTTGATTAGTTCCTTGCCAACTATAGCCTATTATTGCAGGGACGTCCTCGTAAGAGACCGTTGGCTGCTGCTCCGGCGGCCAAGAGGGATGATAGTGCTGTAAACACTAACGCGGTACTGCACAACAATCCCCAGGCGACGATCACTGATGGCGGTGCACAGTCTCCACGTGTAGGCTTTGGCTTTCGTTTTGATTAGTTCCTTGCCAACTATAGCCTATTATTGCAGGGACGTCCTCGTAAGAGACCGTTGGCTGCTGCTCCGGCGGCCAAGAGGGATGATAGTGCTGTAAACACTAACGCGGTACTGCACAACAATCCCCAGGCGACGATCACTGATGGCGGTGCACAGTCTCCACGTGTAGGCTTTGGCTTTCGTTTTGATTAGTTCCTTGCCAATTGTTGCCTTTTGTTGCAGGGACGCCTTCGTAAAAGGCCGTTAGGTGCTGCTCCGGCGTCCAAGAGGGATGATAGTGCTGTAAACACTAATGCGGTACGGGTGGCCTCCTTACAGGAAGATAACAATCCCCAGGCCACGATCAATGATGGCGTTGCACAGCGTCCACGTGTAAGCTTTCGCTTTCGTTTTGGTTAGTTCCTCGCCTATATCCTATTATTGCAGGGACGTCCTCGTAAAAGGCCGTCGGGTGCTGCTCCGGCGTCCAAGAGGGAGGATAGTCTAGTCAATACTCATAAGGCTGCCGAGGCACTGCTGCGCTCGTTAAAGGACAACAACCATCCCCAGGCCACGGTCAATAATGGCTTTGCTCGTGGCCTCAAGCCGGATGTGATCCTCGCCGGGTTTATGTACGAAAAACATCTGATGTTTGCTATGAAATTTAAAAACCGAAAGATGCCCGAGTTGGTGAGCCCAAAGGAACTTAAGCAACGTGACCCAACAATGCTAATAAATTTTTATATAGACCATTTTTATTATCCCCACCACGATATACCTAAGAAGCCAATGTAATTATTATTTTAACCTTTACTTAATTATTGCGATACCCAATTATATACGAATTAGGCATGTAATGCCAAAACTGAAACGACTTCACTACTTTGACGCCATCTTGAGAGCCTAGAACAAAGCAGGGATTTCATAGCACTTATACAATCACAATTGTATGCCTGGAATGACGTACTTGGAGTCTTTGTGTGTGTGCAGAGAAATATGCATGTGTGCACATACATATAAACATGTTTGCATGTGTGCACATGTATACAAATACATATGTATGTATGCAGGTTGACGTGCATTACCGAAGGTTTCGGTTCACTTAACGGATTTTAATGAAACTTCTCGCATTTGATATGCTAATACATATACATATGCACGTTATATTGAATATTTGCCAACTCATATTTATCAATTGCTATATTTGCAATTGACATTCATTTGAGAAGCTGGCATCAAAGAGAAGTTTGTGGAAGCATCAGCATCAAAATTATTCAGCAAATTATCCATTTCTGTTTGCTCTTTTAGGGCAGGATTTGCATTCCTACTATGGATTCCCGCTCTCGCATATTCTATTCTATTTTGGAATACGATTCCAATAAGACTAGCTACTGCAGAGGATAGCTGTTATAGACAGCTATATACTGGATTATTATGTTGATTTCAGATAACTAAATGTTATCTTGGCAGAGTCTAGCTTTGGGCACTCCCTTTGAATGCTTGACTGGAAACTGTAGCCTCCTTAGGTAGTCTCAACTTACTTTGCCTTCTGCCTGCTACATATGTATATTTTAAGGAATCTATTATACGCTGATTTCCTATTTAGAATGGGGTCAGGATATGGCTGCCCGCCTAGCAGAGAAAATCGGGATTTATAGCGCTCAATGTTACGTGAATGTTCCATGCGATGGCATTATATTATGCTGGAAATAATTGATTTATTAAAATACATACATATGTATGTATTTATTTTTTCATTCAGCCTAGTTCCGTTTCTGATTTCGTTTATGTGTGTTGGCAATGCCATAGTACTATTCGATAATTCACTAGAATTGCATACATATGTATATAAAGTAGGGACTCACTTGCATTGCACCAGAACTACAGAATCCTTTGATTAGCTAATATACATAAAGTTTTTTCGGTTACTATAATTGAAATGTTCAAATTATATTCATCTTGATATGAACGTATGTAAATAAATATGTATATCTGTAAGAAATGTGCCGAAATGCTCAGTCGGGGCTCATCCACAATAAGCATATTTCTTGTGTAAGCCACAGGTGTCTTTTGGGCACACCTTGCGTTCATCATGGGAGTATTTGCTTTAAGCATACAGATTTGCAAAGTTAACGTCGCATTAAGGCTACAATCACACTCTGGTTCGCATATAAATTCAACTCCTGGCCAAATGCAATTCTCGTACTCTCATATATTCAACAGCATTCGCGACTTTTCGCAAGGAGAGGCCACTACAACTACTACTACAACAGCAGTAACAGCAGCAACAGAAGGAGGAGGAGGAGCAGGAGCAGGCGCAGCCGCAGCAGCAACAGCTCGAACGGTGGAGCAGATAAATTTTCATGTTGTCACACCTGCGTCGTCGTTGCATGCACATAAATATAGATGGCTGTGTGTGTGTGCGAACCGAGCCGCCAAAAGGTGGCATTGCAACCATTTCAGTCGAAATAAGATATCAAGGGAGAGGCATTCAGTTCGCACCCAGCTTGCCCAAAAAGGTGTAAAAAATTGAAAGCGAAATATTATTAAAATGCCGCATTGTTGGACGCTGCGATGTTCCTGCTGCCTGTTTCTTGGAAGTTGCATCACTCTCTTGTCTCTTTCTCACTCTCCCTCTCTCTCTCTGCCTGCCTGTCTGTCTGTCTGTCTGTGTCGCTGTGCGCATCTTTATTTATGGCGAATATTTGATTTGCGAATTTTCGTTTCTGGCACTCGTGTCTCGTGCTTCTGCTGGCTGGCATTGACAGTTTGACTGTGCGCCTCCGCCGGGCAGTCGAGGAGAACCTGGCTGCATAAATATTTGCTTATTTATGCACCAAAGTCAACACTCTCCGTACACAATGCACTCACACTGTGCGTATTCGAGTGCAAGCGGAATGTGGTTGAACATTTCTTCGTTTTTTTCGGCTGTGCCCAAGCAACAGGTACGAAAATAAACTCACATTGCAAATAAATAACTCAGCGAATGATTAAAGGCTCTAGATAAGTGTGGCCTGAGCGACACAGTTGTGATTTTAAGATAAGGAAACACATTGCACTAAGTGCTGCCAATATATGTATGTGGATAATCAAAATTACGCATACGCAGCGTTGCGAAATGTTTGTTTTAGTTGTTTCATAATGCATTTTTGTAAACAGCACATTTTCATGCGTAAAGTATTTCTGAGTACTAAATGATTGACCAAAGATTAAAGCGCAGTTAAAAAAAAATATTTTTCCAACTTTTGCAAATAAGCAATTGACTATTGAATACTCTGACTCGACAGTTCTTATTTGAAAGATATATTAAAAGTTTATGTTCCTTGGCGATCTTTTATAGCAATAATTTTTTCAAATTAAATATATGTATTTAATAAAATATAAAAAAATAATACATAAACACAAAAAATTAAAATAAAAGAGAAAATGAAATATAAAAAAATATAAATCATAATAAGAAAATATATTATAGAAATAAAAAATTAAAATAAAAAGAAAATGAAATATAAAAAAATATAAATCATAATAATAAAATATATTATAGAAATATAAGAAACCTTTACTTATCAAATAAGCCAATATCCTTCGTAGCCCCAATTTCGCTGGAGCGAAATTTGTAAATATAAATCAATATACCCTATAGGATTTATACATATAATATATATATATATATATATATATATATATATATATATATATATATATATATATATATATAAATATATATATATATATATATATATATATATATAAATATATGTATATATATGTACAGCAGTATAAATATGAAACAAATTTCCTGTCTTTCTTTTCTTTATTTTCAGAATTTATTGTCATAATTTTTTAATCATTCTGCTCAAGTGGCCCCCACTCATTGTCAGCTCTGTTGTTGTTGTAGTTGTTGTTGTTTGAATGCCAACTCCTCATGCATTGTTCAATGGAAATTAAAAATTGTTCACATCGCCTCGGCAGTTTATTATATGGCGCTGTGGTCTGTGGTCTGGCTTCGAGCTGAAGTTGGAGTTGGAGTTGTTGTTGGAGCTGGAGACCCGTGTCCGGTTCTCTTAACTGCCCAATCATAATTCACTGTCCAGCCAGCCAGTCAGCCAGCCAGCTCATATGGTGCATAAGGATAATCGCGCGCATCCTTTCGGCTCTCAACCGCACGCCTCTGCGTCTGGGGGTAATAATTTAAAAAATTGCTCTATTATTTATTTGAGCATATGTCAATGAAATTTATTTATTTATTCACAGCAGCAACAATAAACAAAATGCCTGTGAAGTCAGCGTGCTGTTAATGAGCAGCATGATGGCTGGATGCATGCGCCAGGAGGCGGTGGCGTATAGGGCGGCAACCAGGGCATGGTCCGCACGGTCCTGGGGCAGACGCTGTTGACGTTAATTGACCGCAACCATTTTTTGCTGCTGCCGCTGCTGCTGCTGCTGCAGCGTGCAGTAAATTTTAATGAAATTGCTGCCGTGCAGTGGTTGTTGTTGTTGTTGCTGTTGTTGCTGTTGTTATAGAGGCGTGGCCTGGACATTGCTACACTTGCAACTGCATCTGGATCTGCAGCAGCAACAGCAGCAGCATCGGCTCAAAGTGCTGATGACACGCCTGTCAGCGACACTTTGTGCCGCTTGTTGCATGAAAACATTTTTTAAATAAAATAAAATAAAATGAAATTAAATAATACAGAAAAACAAAATGAAAACGAAATATAAAATCACGCAAATTGCCGAGGCTTAATTTGCGATGCCCTGACAAGGGATAAGCGGCCAATGTTGCCCTTGTGGTTGTTGTTGCTGTTGCTGCTGTTGTTGGCGATCGTGTTTAATGTTTTTCTTGCTCGCTGGCCATTTTTGATGTCGCTGCATTTATAAATTAATTAAAAATAAATTACTTTATGTTGCATGTCGCATTTCATTAAGCTTAGCAGGCGACGAGCATTGCCAAGCAATACGTATTTTATACTACAACAAAATGCGCTGCATGTCGAGTGTGAAGCAATTGTTGGAGCTAATTGGGTATGGCTTATATATCATATATGAAAGATTTATAATATAGCATATAAAAACATTTCTGGTTATTTCTTCAGCCAGAAAACCCAAATGAAACACACCAAAATATTTCACTTTGCATTAATTACATACAAGATTCGCATCTCGAGCCAGAGCAATGGTGAGCTGATGTCTCTAGCTCTCTAGATCAAGATTCAGTTCTGCCTACTACTGAATTCTTTATAAGTCTTAAACTGTTACTGAACATACATGTGGAAATTCTAGAGCAAACGTTTCTAGCCCATAAAAGTTTACCATAAACTCGCACACAACTTTGTTCCATTCAACTCTGGGTTCGATTCACACAGGCTCGATTATCAAACCTATATGGGATTTTAATTTCAGTTTGTTGCACGCGCTTGATTTATAGTTCTTGCTTATTCTGCTATTATTTCAATATGTTTCTGCAAGCATTAGTGCACAAAATGTGCAATTTCTCTACCAAGTGCTTCCATTTCTTGCCTGCTGAGCGAGGACTGTAGCAAAGTCATGAAAGGGCTTACTCATACACATGCAAAATTTTAACATTTTCATTATTATTTGTGAGAAAGGTATAAGAGCTTTGATGCACATTAAAAATACTTTTCTGCATCGAGCTTGAACATACATTTACAACGCACACACATTAACAAATCTGAGCAGAAATGCGTGTGTGCGAAACTCTCTGTTAAATTTTAAAATCCCAAAGATTTAAGTAGGTTGTGCTTTAATCTTTTTTACGTAGAAATTGTTATACGTTGATGTAACATCCAGAGAGAGGACTAGCAGACCCGTTTAAGTATATACATATAATCCTTGCTCTTCTGAGCCCTA